TTCAAGAATTTTTGCCATGTTCACTTGTTCTTTTGTAGATTTATTAACTCCGACTTCCCCATTGTTTTCAACCCAGTTAACAATTCTGTTCGACTTTTATTATTACCGTACCGTGAACACTTGAGCATCCGATCAAGTAATCTTACTTTTGAGGCATGGTAAAAGTATGGCGTTTATTGAAAGACAAGGTTTTAATATAATTATAATTATCAAGCTAGCAATTAGTTAACAAATTGCTACGGTGACGACTACGCGCATGTATTCTTAAATAGTTATTACTACGATAATTTATTGATATGTTAGAAGGTACTAATGGCCTGATGTAATCATGCCATGTTTGATCAGGGAGATTACTGTCCGTGTGGGATCTCAAAACTAATATATTACTAGTAACTAAGCGCTTCCGTAAACAATTTATCGTAAAATATGCTACTCAGATAATTGTGGACAAGAGACAATTATCCTTTCATCGATATAGAGATTAGCTATATCGATAATTTACCAGGGATTGAATTATCAACAATGTGAAATATTTACAATAAAGTAATTGGAGCGATAATAACCCCTTGGGATTGTGAACGTTGCAGAATAGGGAGAATGTGCATTTATCACTAATTCCCGAGGTTGGTGCATTTAGAGAGAGTTGAATGTACGCAGGTCCTCGACTACTGGTTAAACTGTAGTGTGAATCTATCGATGGGATTAATTTCGATAGCCTGTAGGCACAATTAGTTTGTAGACAATTAGCATTCGTACTGATGCCAATTTGGACTGGAGCGGAATCTGCGGTTTGCACGTCAATACTAATGCGATGGAATACTGATTATGTGCTAAAACCAATAAATATAATTTATTGAGTACCGAAGAGCTATCTAAGGATGATACAAGAGTTTTGAGCGAAGATATTGATCTAGCAAAACTACACTTCTTATATACATTTCATTGCCTCACTAGCCATATTCTAAAATTGAATTTCGCTCGCCATTTCTCACAGAGCACAAAAGTGAGACGATGGTCGAAACGTTTGTATAAAAACTATTCACTAACTATTATACGACTACTGTTAATGTAAGATCTTTATGACAACTACAGAAAACTTAAAGCTGTTTAGGCAGTAGTACATATTTCGATATCGGAATATTTTGAGAAATACGCCTCTTTGTATTTGCTTGTCATACGTACGTACCTTCGAATGTAGCACACGTTTCTTGCCTATGGATTAATGTCTCAATCCCAATGGAAGTATCAAAAAGCAGCTAAACAAGGATATGCCAGTACTCAATAATCTTGCTTTATGTTATGAGAATGGAACTGGAGTAGAAAAAGATGAACAAAAAGCAGTTGAACAAGGAAATGCCAGCACTCAATATAATCTTGGTGTGTGTTATAAGAATGGAACAGGAGTAGAAAAAGATGAACAAAAAGCAGTTGAATGGTATCAAAAAGCAGCTAAACAAGGAGATTCCAGTGCTCAATATAATCTTGCTTATTGTTATAATAATGGAATAGGGGTAGAAAAAGATGAACAAAAAGCAGTTGAATGGTATCAAAAAGCAGCTGAACAAGGAGTTACCAATGCTCAATATAATCTTGCTTTATGTTATGAGAATGGAACTGGAGTAGAAAAAGATGAACACAAAGCAGTTGAATGGTATCAAAAAGCAGCTGAACAAGGAGATTCCAAAGCTCAATATAATCTTGGTGTGTGTTATGATAATGGAACTGGAGTAGAAAAAGATGATCAAAAAGCAGTTGAATGGTATAAAAAAGCAGCCAAACAAAGACATGCCAGTGCTCAATTTAATCTTGCTAATTCATATTATAGTGGAGCTGGAGTAGAAAAAGATGAACAAAAAGCAGTTGAATGGTACCAACAAGCAGCTGAACAAGGAGATTCCAAAGCTCAATCTAATCTTGGTGTGTGTTATCAGTATGGAACTGGAGTAGAAAAAGATGAACAAAAAGCAGTTGAATGGTATCAAAAAGCAGCTGAACAAGGAGCTGCCAATGCTCAATATAATCTTGCTTTCTGTTATGAGAATGGAATTGGAGTAGAAAAAAATGAACAAAAAGCAGTTGAGTTATATCAGAGTGCAATAAAACAAGCACATTTGTCAGTGCAAGTTAAAAACAGTAGACATTATAGCAGAATAGATGGATTTGATACTAACATTAATATTGTAACTGACTTGTGTCAATTAGGAGCTAAAAAAGGAAACCCTTATGCACAATATATTCTTGGTCTGTATTATGAAAATGGGATTGGGGTAGAAGCGAATATTAAAAAGGCACTTGACTTATATGAAAGAGCAGCTGAACAGGGATATAGTAAAGCACGAAATAAGGTGTATATTTTTTATGAAAATGAGTCTGAAGTAAAGGAAAAAATAAGAGAAAAGATTGAGTTGGTAAAAAATATGATTGGTAAAGAGCATTAGACATAAACTGAAATTTACCATTAATATTAACAGAAACAACTAAATTGGAAGATAAATTACATCTATGACTTACACAAGCAAAAAAAGTAAAACTGAAATTCATATGGAATTTTCCATCACTAGTATTAGGAAGAATAATCATGAAAAGATTTAATTTATCTATTTTGGCAAGTGTACCAATTTTAATAAAAATGCATCATTTATGTTCTGTATATAGTGTTATGTTTGGTCACATGGGAAGTGTTTGTGTTCTAATTGACTAACATTATGGATGCAGCTTATTTTTGAAGGCTTTCTATACCTTTTATTGCTAAGATAAACTCATACAGTAGGACCGGTTAAACCAACTGATAAATGAAACCTTCAATATATGTGGCCTGGGAGCGCATTGTGTTCAATTATTGACCGAAAAATATTCTCAAATAAGCTCAAACACGGCCTCGTTAACGCGTCCGCTTCAATTAAGGCGTCAGCTAATGTTGAAACCTATTCCCTATTCTTGGAATATATAGTTGCTATTAGGACTATTAAGCCAAAAATACTAAAACCAAAGCACGTTATCGTTCAGGATGCCCGTTTTGAGTCACTTTTAGTGATTTAATCTTTTGGCTTAATCCCGTTTAATTTTTTTTTTTAAAAAAAAAAGGCTCAGCGATAGCCCTGCCGCTAGGAACTTACGAACAAGGAGAGAAACTATACCAGAGCAACAACTGATATTATTCCTTAATCGAAGGAGTATAATTAAGAAATGCGACAATGCTTCAATTCGTACGTTCCTGAATTGTCTTCGGCCGCTCTTTGAATGAGCATTATTTAATTTATGTGTAGACGATAATATATTTTTTTACTACTTGATCGTAGTTTTTATTTAATATGAATGTTTACTATTTAAATATGAACTATTAAACCGTATTATTAACAATGGATGGTACACCACTAACGACTTAACTATACCTTTACCGATAAAATTTTTACGTTCCTTATATAATCGCGTAGTAAGTCTTAATTTCGGTTGTGTCATAACACAATTTCGGTTTACGCTTTTGTGTCATAACTCGATTTTATATTCCATCATCCTAATTTAGATAAGAATGCACGTTTTTCATGCGGAATTGATGCGTCATCAATCCCAAACGTAACAATAGCCAATTGATCAATTTGATCAGATACTCCATAGTTTGCAGCTCGCGTTACTCTCTAGTCCCCATAAGCTGGCTTATCCGGCTCTTTTAAGTCAGACACTTCCGTCCAGGAACAAGAATAGAACTACAGAATACCTAATAGTATTCCTTAGTTGAAGAGCATATTAATTGTAAAAAGGCGATAAATTTGAGCAAATTTCTTCATAGCGTTTTCAGTTGCTCTAGTAAATGAGTTTATTTTAATAATTATAGACGATAGGCTTAATTGCTTTTACCACTGATCGTAATATTTTATTTAATATTAATATAATTAGTATTTAACAGTGACCAAAACACATTACATCACGACACACGTTCGACGATAAATTGAGCTAGCAGGCGTAATTCAAATATGATGTCTGATTTGTGAATTTCGCTGTCTTGCAACATCCTAATAAGCGATTGTTTGAATTAATAATAGGGAAAAGTTTGACCTTTATTGATTTCTAGCAAGATAGGACATGTAGTTTTAGTGACTGCTAAAACTGACTTGGTTGCAGAACATGACTTATTTGTCAATATCCAACCCAGATGTGTGATGAGTGCAACATTGTCATGGTGTAGCATCACACTACGGGCAGTTACTCTTTCCCTTAATTTCGACAAAATTTGATTAACTTGCTTATATATATTTTTTATAAGGGTCTTTATTAACATTTTTTTCCAAAATTGCTTCGCAAGACCTTCTGAATCAAGAGTCATCTTCCAAGCAGTTTCTTCCATTATTGAAATTTTTACCAGCTGTCAAACTGTGCGTAATGCTAGTACTTTATGTCTACAAAATTTCATTAATTTTACTAACATTTGTCGCGTCTTGCCGTTTCAGCAAACACCGTATCCTCTCGTGAATAAGCACCCCCCTGATTACCGCTATTTAGCAACATAATCTACACCTCATCAATAACTTATTACATAAGATTATAAATTATTTATTTCAAATACAATACATTTCTGGTTACTGTGATTACTGTTAGATAACTTCCCTAAAGTTTATTGTGACGGTTTGCCGATTATTTCATATGATCGGAGGGTGCTTATTCACGAGAGGATAACGGGTATGTAGAATCGGTATTGTTCACGTGAAATTCAAGCCAGTGATTTCGATGAATGAACTTTGAACAAAGATCAAATTTTGTTTGGTTTCAAGATCAGAACTTGGGCTTTATTTGGTAGCACGTAGTATTACTTTCATAGTATGTTAACACTGTTGAAGGTTACAAAAATTAAATCAAACATGACAGTACATGTCTTATAATCAAACTTTATTTACAAACACATTGTAGCCAAATTCCCAGCTCATTCAACTTGCTCTAAAATGCTTCGTTGCGAACCACAAGTCGTGTTTGATGCAGAAGCTTTCGTCACATTAGACAAGTAGACTCTACGAGTTTGCTAAGACAATGACTTTTCCATGACAGAAGCTGATATCTGAGAACTGTTGTCCAGATTTTGGTGACGAATCGATGTTCGTAAAAGCTGTCAGTGAACTAATTTCGTTTATCATATGCCGGCTGCAGACTTTAGTGCTAAAATACTGATGCTTTTTCGAATTAATGTTAACAACGTGTTGACCTCGCTCGTTACCACATTACACCACCACCAATGCCGCCAAGAACACTTTCTGCCGGTAATCGATCAGCTTTTGATAAAGTTGCCCATTTCGATTCACTTATTGTCGATGATAAGCGAGCCGCTTTGATTCTGGGTTGCATTAAAGAAGCGGTAAATTAGCAAGGACTGATCAACTCGATGACGCTGTGATGAAACCATAGCACAACAGATGGCTTTATCGCGCGCAGAAAATTATTATTATGGACTAACCATTGTGGTTACAAGATTGCAGTTCGACTGACGAGGTACTAATATAGACTTCCCACATGGAACAAGTGCCATCCTAATTTTGTCATGCGATTACACAAAAAAGCCAAGTTAAAGTCTTTGTATTTTTTTGTGATATGCTTAAAGTCTTTAGATTTTCGATTGCTACAACCCCAGTGGTGCTCATACGATGAGCTGGTCACGTTGACAAATTTAGGTCTGGCGTGTAACAAATCCGATAAAATCTGATCGCTGCTGCAATGCCCAAGGAATCATCGATTCAAGAAATTGAAAGCCTATGACATAATAAATAGATGGCGACTTAATTCGCTGTACTGAATGAATTCTCTAATTAGTTTGTCGCCGACTTGAAATATCGACGTTTACTACAAAGTCTATAAAGAGAATGTCTTAAAGTTGTAAAAACAAGGCGAGTAGATCTAATCTGTACATGTGATGCACATTGCATGTTGTCAAAAAATCACATTTATACTTTTAAGGAAATCACCGAACCACAGGTGTTAGGTTGTTATACCAATTATATTGTAAACAGATAAGTCAATCTAATAACAATCACATTTTGACAAACAGGTTGAGCATCGAGAGAATGAAAAGTTTATGGCAATGCACAACGATTGAGAATTCGGAGCTAATATTAATGAGATTGCTTCCCGGATTGCAAATTTGACAGCTACTTGTTTAGCACACTATGCACAGGGCGAAACTATTGAACAGGGTTAAACATAGTTTCAAGGGGAACCTAATCAACTATCTGCTACAATTATGTTGCCCATTGTGTTACGTTAAGCTTGAAAGTTTAAATTTTAACTCTGTTGGGCATAACCGTTTTAATTGTGATATAAATTTGGCTTTGCAAATGGTCTGCGTGGTAAAAACACTTTATTCTTTCTTGGGAAAGACAGGCCCTATTCTGCGTAGTATAGGATAGCTACTTTTATTGGAAGGTTTTAGTTGTGGAATATTAATGTTTAATTTATGATATTGGAATGAGTCTAATGTCATGCGTCGTTCATGTTCATGAATTATTTCTGGATCGGTAATGAATGCATCTTTGTGGAGAGATTGTATTTGAATTTGATCCCATGCTTGACAGCGACTTAATGCAACATATGCTTGTTCGGGGGGAAAATTGATCATCTAAAACGAGGGAGACTTTTGGTACTTGCGTTTTGTGTACAGTTAAGGTGGGGAAGCTGTGTAATATATTGCTCTTCGGGAGGTCTAGCATAGTATCGGCGGAGTAAGTTTTAAAATGTTCAGTTGCTTATAAGAATTTCAGTTGAAGATCATTTAGTGGGAATGCTTGATGAAATGTGGGATGAGTCGAGCTCTGTAAGTGGAGCAATTTCCGAGTAATTGTGCATCAGACCTACATGGTAGTGGTTGTTGATAAAAGAAGATTTCTCCGTCTTGCGGTTTAAGTATCTGTATCGCACAATTATTTCAGATAAGTGTCTTTATAAATCGGGACTTGTGATTGGCTTGACGGTTACTTTGTCGAAAGTCGGTATTTTTTAAAATAATTGGGATATGTTATATTTTGCACGACCACATGTGGACGAATTTGATCGTCATCGTTACGGCCGAATTTCACGGGAGCGTGTGGACATTGGTAAGTATATTACTTGTGTTGAAGAATTACACCAAGTAGAAGGAACATGCATTCCATTGATCCTAATCGTCAAGCGATAATATGCTCACGATATTTACCATATGTTGAAAAGGTGGTTTGACGACATATTTAGTCAGGGATTTTTCGAAGTGACGTATTGAGCATTCATATTCATTCATATGACCATACCATATTAAAATTGGCCATGATATGGTACTACCCAGCGGTCTTTTCTTTTGCGCATCGATATATATGACAGGTGGTCTTGGAAAGTTACCTTTGCAGGTGGGGCAGGTCCTCAAGTGCGACATGAAGACGGTCGTTTGGATGAAACGTGAGCACTGACGTTGTGGTGGTTTTTTTTTATTGCTAATCGGGTTATTGATGGTGATCACATGTTACGATAAGTGATAAATCTAACGTTAAATAGTGGATCAATTACCTTATCAGGGGAACGATTTCATTGTGTGGGAATATTATTTGCGATAATATCACTATATCGTAGTTTATTTCCTTATGTGGAGTTAAATATGAAGATGATATAAACGCAGAAGTTTATTTTCCCATGTTTGACTCAAAAGAAGTTTAATGTCATAATTCTGAAATCTATTGTCATCGCAAATAGTATTGCAGACGGGAAAGGGAAAGCAGAATATCACTGTGGGATTCCTTGCTTTAACTGTATACTACCGTTTATTATCTATAAGCAGTCTCGTACTTCTCCTCTTTAGTAATAAAAAACTTGCTTTTTTGAGCCGTTGTTGGATGGTTGCGGGGGATGCCTTTACGCGGCGATTTTTTTTTGTATCGAACTTTTAGGTTTTGTCTTGCTTGTGTCATCACTAATTTCCAAGGGACTAAAGTAGTGAATTCATTTTCCGCTTTTGCGTTTATGAACTGAAATTCTAGAATACAATTGATTGTCGACACTGTATAGGTGTCCTGTTGTAAATACGAGTGAATGTTTTTTTTAAGCGTCCTTGAAAATCATGGGTCAGAATTACATCGAACGCTCCGTACTGTGTACTACTCAAATATGGTAGCCTGTCTCTCTGATATTCGAATGTTCTCCCAAGTAGATGGACAAGCGGTTAATATCGTCTGTTTCTAAGAATTAAGCGTTTACTTGTCGTTATTACGAACGTCAATAACGCCGTCTTTCGATGGTGCGAATTTTCCGGTAATTAGATATACACAGTTCGGTTTGAGTTCTTGGAAAGTTTCACCGTTGTCTTTAAGTTGGAATCTTCGGAATCAGTGTCATTGATTGGTAGAATTGACTATTTGAAAATTATCTAGTTTTGAGATGGCTTTGTCTTTTTGCATTAAATGGTGAATAACACTTTCGTCGTTATTTCTTATTTCCTAATGATTAATTACGTTATTGTCACGATAACGCTTATTTATTATTTCATATAATTAATACGTTTAGCATGTCGTTATTGAGCAATTTTAATAACTTTTTTGTGCTATTGCGTGTTACTTAGTGCCATTACATGACATAAACATTATTTATTTCTACACCTAAATTTGATTATACAACAATAACTTGGATTATTGTTATTGATAAAATTCAATAATTTGCTTGATTAACGTCGTTGCATTTGGACAAAATTTTATTGTGATAAACAATAATTGTCTTTTCTTATTGATTGTTGTACGGTTTTCGTTATCTTAGTTAGATGATTACACTTTACTCATATTTGCCATAATAATAACTTTTTCTTTTCTTTTCAAAACACTGTATAATTGATAAAATATCGTCGATGGTAATCTTGTATATTAAATTAATATTAATATCAAGTTAAACGTTAATTTAGTTTATCATAACAATAAAACAAAGTAAAATTAAACATGTACAAATTATATATAATTAATAATATATAAAAATGACCCCATTTGACCGCATGAGGCTAACCTAACCTTCCAAATTTGTCGAATACGTCACAATCTATATTATGAAATGTACCATCTATTCTTTTATTAACGTTTAATTAAATTAATTGACCGGAATGGTAAGGCAAGGGTAATATTTTATCCGAATTATACCAACTTAACTCAAGGACGTATGTAGAGCTGTCACGCTTTCCCTACTCGTTTTTAATACGCTCTATTCATCTTTGCTATTACAACATGTTTATTAACTTTGCCTACTCTTGTATTACTATTTGTCGTTATCTAATTGGAAAATAATATGCTTATTATTTATTTACATAGACTTAGATTATCGATTAAATAATACTTTTCTATATGTTCCGTTTCCAAGTCACTGTTCTCACTCTAATAACCTCGTTTACTGCCTCCGCCTCTACGTCCAACTCTGCTATATGTCGGTTTAATAATGAAATGTAGAAGGTGGTACAACTAGGACATTAATGTGGCTATTGGATTTCTTTGTGCTTGACTGGGTGGAATCGCGAAGGGTGGAATCGCGAAGGGTAGACTCGCTTTGAATAAAACTCGGATTAGGACTTCTAATACAAGTGCTCTGTCTTATTATACTTTGCTCACATGAGCCAGGCGAGTCATCCGAAAAGCCTTCGGAAAGGAGGTACTGAATCGCGTAACCAGGACCACCAAGATTTATAGATATAATAACCACCATAAATGCCCATGGTTTAGTGTGCTATTAAAGATTATACAATGTTAGCAAGTGATAAAGAAAAGCTTGATTTTGTAATAGTAACCTATAATATGATAAGATAATACACTTACTCCGCCAAAGAATCCAATTACACATATATAAGCGGGAAGCCTAAAATCACATAATCAGACAACGTTTAATATCAAAAAACAGAGATCAAAACACAATAGTTCAGTGTGCGCATACCATTTTACAAAAAATATCAGAATGTAGCCAGTTATTCTTCTCAAAACACTCCGTTCAATAGCAGCATGTTTAATAGCGTGTTCAGTAGTTTTAACCAGTTCTTTGCCAGAGCTTTTGAGTTTTGCCATAATAGCAAGATAGCAAACAGCGCAAATCAAAAAAGTGGCAAAAGTAATGCCAAGGCCAGCAATGGCTAAGGAATGCTTTCCAGTAGTTTCCAAACACCTAAGTAAATAACAATAGGTTTATCAGCGTTAGTGATGAAGCTATTAATTAAGCAGATTTCAAAAAACAAACAAACTTCATACCAGTATTGAGTTGGCCCAACGTTTGCCCAATTAACTGCGCACACACAAACTGACATAACTGCGGAGCCTGTCCAAAGTTTCCAGTCATAACGTCCAAGATTGCATGCTTTATGAAGGCATACACGGAGCTTTAAAACAAAGAGAGAGTGTGAGGAATTAGAATACGTGTGAAAAATTGTATACGGCGATTAAATTTTGTTTTCGAGATTTATTAAACATGATATTTACGTATGTAATTACAGATAGTATTACAATCACAGATTGACTTTGTTGGAATACAAACGCTGTCATCAGTCCTACAGTGAGACAGGATTTGTCCGGCAATACTTCTCCGTTGATTGCCGTGTATGCCTAACACATGCAAAGCGAGCATAATTAGTATTTACCAACGCGAGGTTACAATCATATAAAAAGTGATCGGCTGCTTACAATATTTAATATAAAAAGTGAAGATGTTATAATGTCTATAGGGGAAAAAGTGGGGGAAGGGTAAAAAAAAAAAAAAAAAAGAGTTATTTTTCAGATTCACTCGTCGCAGATAAGTAATTCAGATATACCTACCAGCTGTGGCAAGATATGTAAGCACTTTCAGAGCGTGTGATAGTGGCTTGTCTGTATGTCGTGACTTTTGAAAAACACGATACAGAACGTAAGCTGAACTAAGAAAATTTATACTACAAGCTATAAATCCGCTGACATGTACTAAGTGAAACCCGGAATTCTGATGACAGACAAAAAGAGAAGGTTGATCAATGTTAATGAAATTTGTCCATTCCATAAAGTTGGAGATCTTGACAACCAATTTATACTATACTTACATCATCGTCATCGTGAGGTGATAGCGTTGTGGTGGTGGTGGTTCCGTTGTTTTCCATTCTTACTGTGACAATATAAAGAGATTCTACTGACTCTTTATGAACAGTAACGGATCATGTAAAGATCTCTAAAGTATTACAAGAATGGCTTGACCAACGGTCCAGGCGAGTAGTAGAAATGAAACAAGGGATTATTGTGTAGAGCTTTTCTTTGAGATCCGTTGGATTAACATGTAAAAAGTCTTACTGTTCACGCCTCCTTCACCGTATCGACCGTCCCTATAATTTATATAAATGAATCAAGTTTCACACAAATTATGATCTTCAAATTTTATCCTTAACCGGCCTTCGAACTATATAATTTCATATTTGCCAATAAAATACGGGCGGGGGAGAATGAAGAAATGGATCGACAATTGTGTTATACATACAATGTGCACACTTTTTTTCCTTAAATTAACTTCATCGATGTTCCGAAATTGACATATTGGGCAAATTTTACCAATAACCGTATGTTGCAGATACTAAATTAGATCGTTTTTCCAATTCCGGTATAACGTATTTTGCCTGGTCCGATATATATGGAAATTTTAGCGCAGAGATCGATCCGAAACACCACACCGCACAAAATCGTCTGTATACGGTAACGATCTCCAATCACTAACTATCCCGAGTACTCACATTCATTAATCAATATTTCACTGGTGGTGTGTGTATGCTTTTCGCTGTATCAACCGATTATCTAATTACACAGAGACTAGAGAAAAAGATCGAAAACGGGAAGGTGACTAAACTAGTCACCGATGGTTACGCCATTCACGAAGGAGGGAGGGGAAGGGAAAGGGGAAAGGGGAGTTGCTATCTGTAAATGCGTACTACCACAGGTTTAATATGACTATATTTACCGAGTAGATATGACGTAGACCTGATCTGAGTAAAGCAAGATTGAATTCTTTTTATAGAAACAACACCTTTCCTCAAGGACCATAACCAGCGAAAAACGCCTTAAAAAGTATCCAAAACACATTCTTCTGACCTCGATTTCCGGGATACTCAAACCATCAGCGGACTTTCCTTTTTACCTTATGTATGATATTCCAAAAAGGTGCCTAATTTTCTCGACCCAGCATGTCAACAAGTATATCATGATTGACCTCGTTGATCTGCTTATGGACAAACAGTTGTTCAATGCGCATAGAATTGATATTGAGCATATGTATCCGGAGAATCAAACTCATGTTTTACGGTATTAGTACATATTGATATTGCCGTATATGAAAATATACATGCACTCGTTACTTAATAAAGAATTAGACCTTTGTCATTAAATTTACTATTTATGTGTTTAATTAATGGAATTAAGTTCGAACCATCAGCTATCGAATGCACACGTTCCTGTGACTCGCTTCTGTCCTATGAAAAATGTTCTGTTAAAAACTTTTGTTACAAGTCTACGCTAAGACATCAAGTATTTCTATATGCGAATAATAGAGATTCTATGCAAGCAAACGCTTAGTGGTACTTTTTCATATTATATATAATATACCAAGATCTATATAATTTCGACTAACTGTAACTGTTCCTTTGTATCTGTTATGGGAGATAAGTTTGGCCGACTGTTTAATTTAATGTGCGATCCTCACCCCACCCCCACCCGTTTCAGAGTGGTAATGATCCCCACTTAAACCAATACTGGCTGTTGTCCCCTGAATACGCCCAATCACGAAGAATATTAACTACAATAGATAAAAGGCCTGGGATAGTCACATGCTCGTCATCATGCACTAATGACGATGACGAAATGAGTCGTTAATTTATGCATTCGTTCGAATCAATAAAGCAATGATTGAAATGACATCCCAAGATCATTTGAAATTACGGTAAAAAGTATGATCGTCACATACGTCTTTTAGATTGCAGGATCTGCATAGAACTCGCAATTTTGCATTTGGTGGTGTTGTCTGAAAAAGGCTTGAAAGAGATTAGCCATTGGAGTAAGCGACGGCATTCGCGATCGATTCTTGAGCATTGCTTCTGTAATCGTCATCGTTAATGATGATTGCCATCACAATTAAAGAACGCGAGCTGCCTATGCTTGAGTTACTTGTCGTGGGATTTTCATTTCTAGATCGATTTAATTTCAGCATTTAGAGGAAGCATTCAATACAATTAATTTACTGCTTAGCTCAATAATTCGAATGTCAGAAATTACGACCTTGGTTTGTGTATTTCTAAATAATTTAACTTATGAAAGCCGTCCTCTTGTACGTGGAGCAAAATTTAAGTCTAACTAGTTAAAAATAAGTTTTGGCAAATTTAATAATTATTGCATGTTAATGTAGACTCTGTAAGCGCATCAGAACTAACAAATGTAGTTGTATAATCTATTTAATGAACATAGCCTTTAAGTATTTTTACAAAACATATTCACAAAATTTAAAGTTTGCTTATCGTTTATCAGTTGACATGGTTTAATTTGGAGGAACTTTTTTTGAACCTTTTGTTTTGTTTTTATTTTTTTTTGAACCTATCACTCTTATGACTTGGAAAAGTTTTGTAACCAGTAAATGACTATTCACGGCTACTATTATTATATTCAGAATTGCTTCTTTTGAGCGAATTTATTCTTACTGACTTTTACATAGCTCCATTCTTGTCAATAATCTCCAGGGAATCTTTTGCTATATTTAGCAATTTTGCTCTTTTTTTTTTTTTTTGAGAGAGATATTTTCACCATAAAAAAGACTAAGATGCATTTAGTCTTAATATTAATGCAGGTAAATGCATATTAATATAAAACTGTTATTCAATGTATGCACAGCATTCTGCCGTTCTAAACCTAACTTTACAAACGTTAGCCGAGAAAATCACGTTGCTAAAGGAATCACCGAATGCTTCTAAATGTGATGTAGGTAAACTCGATAATCTCTCTGCCCCATATTTAAAATCCGCTCGATAAGTCGGATTTCTTGATAAGTCGGACAGCCATGCCCAGCAAGTTATCGAGTTTACCTACGTATTAGAAAATTTTTTACCTAAACATGAGACATCAAACCCTTTCACTCACTTTGCATTCTTTTTTAGGTGTGCATGCCCTTTTTTTTTCTTTTCTTTTTTTCTTTTTTTTTTTTAATTTTTTTTTACTAAAGAGCTTTCGAACTACAGATAGAAACATGAATAGATTCTGCATTATTACATTCTCGTCGTTGTTTCAAAGTTTAATTGCGGGTTCGTTTGCCAAGACAATCACGTTTAGGGAGAACTGTATGAATTAAGAATATATTAGTCCCGTCTGTCATTGCATAAAAATAGAAGGGCTAAATATGATGCCGAAAAAAGGCATTATTTGAGCAATGAACGATTTGTATCACAAATGAATTCTACCACAATTTTACGCCTTTCGTTTATCGATCTGCTAGGTCAAATAATTGCACGTAAAGAGAATTCTCATATCGATATTGGAATTTCCTCTACATACAGTTTAAGTGTTTATGGGAATTACCCCCTGTAAAACGACATATTGTAGAAGTTAAAGCACATTGCAATTAAGCCTCCGAGAATAGTTGCACAAAAGTAACTTTCCAGGAAAGAGATTGTTTTAGTAAACCAAGTGTTTGGGAGTAAGCGCTGATATTGAAAACAACAATTATATCTTTTTTCTGCTTGAATTTTTGGTAAATAAAATAGTATTGTAGAATTCGTAGCGTTCAGGAATTTTTTACAAGTTTACATAATCTACACGCTATTGCAGAGCTTTTTTAACTTTTTGTATCAAAAATGCCGTCTTACTGATACAGGACTCTGAATCGGTCGGATCATACCGAAAATTCAAAGATAATCGTGATGCAATATAAATATTGTGCAACATCAGCGTTCGCAACTTTTTTTTTTTCTCAACACTTTATTAACATCTAGCAAGTCGTTTGTGATTTGGAATTGTTGTCAAGAACTGAATAAATTCAGAAATTTAGCATGCTGTATTAAAAACATAGGCAATATCCAGTGCAATTTCAAATTACAACAGCAATTCACTCTTCACAAATTTCTGAACCTAATATTTCGATGCCAATATATCCAAAGACTATGTTTATCCTTTATAGCAAAGTCAGATCAGAATGTTCTTAGATCTTCCTTATATTAAATACCCGGTAAAATTATTCTGGTAATTCAAACGTAGAATAACACATTTCACCCGTTCGTTTGTTAATCGCAATCGCTTTAACTTCTGATGTTCCAAAAGTTAGTGAGAAATCAACCGGTCTATTTAATCCAAGACGGACATCTTGCAGTTGCTGCAAAATCAGAATATTGGAAATTAGGCAAATGAAAAACAATTTAAACAGTCAGTAATGGACAGTGCGCCCTGACCGCCATTACGACCACAACCCTTCTCGAAAGGGAAAAAAAAAAAAAGACACATACCACGGCCCATTTTCCGAGCAAATGCATGCCCTCATCATCAACAAATTCTGCATCATACGCACTTGTGTAATACAGGTTGAATGGCAGTCTCGTTTGATTCGGATTAACCGGACCAAATGTATCGGTAAACTTGTTAACGACATCAATTTGCGTGCCACGACGTGCAAGACAACAGAACCGGATTATGCGATTAGACGGAGTGCGACGATTGGGCGGGTCACCTGGTTTCCATTCGGAGGATATTTCAGTGCCGTAAGTGTATTTCAACATCCGGTTTTGTACAGTACGGTTTATTCCGTAGTATGGGGAGGCCTCGTTTGTCTCGATGTTCAGGCCTTTTAGAATAAAACGGGGCATTACACGGTGGATAAGATTGGGTGGATAAGATTGGGTGAGTATTTGTACCAAAAATGAAGCAAGAATAGTAATATAAAATACTACATACCGTACATGGCAGCACCACGGACTATTGCACTCATGGGATTGACAGGTACCGCAATAGTTCGTCCAGGTTTAGAGTATGTTTCTTTAATGCGACTCTGAACATACCGATTTTCACTAAAGCCTCCAACCAGAAATACTGCAGATACTTCTTTGGTTGCACTCTCTAATTGATCGCTGTTATACCAATTGATAAGCAGGAATACGTTCTTAAATACACATGCAAATATCACATAACAATACAACAGAGATACCAAAATGCAATGCAACCTACCCAACCAGTCGAATGATCTGGTCGATGGCACCATCAAACATTGCTTTCACATCTTCGAAATTAATGACAATCACCCAATCGTATCCCTCCAGTTCCGATGCGTATTCGTCCGGAACATATTTTTTCAAAATCGGAAGCGTCTCTTCGATATCTATCTCAAAACTCTCGTGTTCGTTGAAATCTTCCTCCTTGCCTGTGAAGGCATATTTTACCGGCCAAAACATTGTTTCGAGGAAATATTTTGTCGCGCTGGAATGCACCTCGCGAGCTTTGTCCATCGTCTCCCAAGGGATGAAGAGTTTGTTGGCGATGTATTTGAAAAAAGCAAGGTCAACAAAACTGCCGCCGCAGCAGGCACCCTTGGACTCGGTTATTTCTCCCAGAGTCTTTTCCGTGAGAAGCTCGCGCGTTGTTAGATCTACAGTACCTCCACCGCAGTCTACAACCATGAATGCATCTGTGTGATGTGTGAATAGGTTGGTCGTTGGCATAATTTAGAGGGAAAAGCAAGGATTATGAATTTATATCGTGCGAATATTGCAAGTGCTGATCGTATATCACCTTGCGGCGAATAACACATAAAACACGTAATGGTACACATTAAATGCACTAACCTCCTACTTTCAGTTGGTATTCTTTACAAAATTCCATGCAATATATCGCGGCAGCTTCGGCTAAACAATGAAAAGCTCACACGATAAATCAAAAGTACTTATTTTCTCACGAAAAACAAACTCGACACACGTTCAACTCACGCTCAGTAGTAAATTCCAAATTAGAAGTAAATAATCTATCTATTAACCCAGCATCAAGGCAGCACTGTCTCATTGTGTTCTTTGTTGGTGGACCCCCTAAGGTAAGAAATTTGAAAGAGTATGAAGGGGGCGAATCTGTAGGCCAGAGCGGAAAAAAAAAAGTACACAAGAAAACGTCGACTTACATTCTGCTGGGATTGAAAGGATTAGCTTCACTTGTGAGGGAAATTTTAATCCTGTTCGACAGATAGGTTTGTTAGTACACCGAGTGTTTGTAAAATTTGGTAATATAAAAAGTCTTACCAGGCCATCGGGCGTCTAGTTTGCTTACAATCTCCTACAAAAGTAAATCATTTGCTTCCATGAATAACAAATCGACTCTTTTGTTTCTAGCTTGGTGTCATTGCTACGACCAACAGTTCAATACTTGTTCGTATCCTTTTTTTTTTTTTTTTTTTTGCCCACATTATAAAACTCAAAGGCTACGATCTCGCATTAAACACTTTTCCCCCTCTCCCCATTCAGAACCCTTTCGCTCACCTTTTTCAGATGTTTAAAAAAGTCTGTAATTGCTTGCTCAAATTTCAGGCCTTCCGGCAGCTTTCTTCTATTTCCCTCACCCCCGGGTGACATGTACAATTTGAACAGTTCTACCATGTGCAGATGTCCATCATCGCTTCTTCTTCCGGCGCGGCCACCACGGTTTCCTCGTGCGATGGTCGAAAAGCCCCATTTGACAGCGTTTAAATCGGCATCGTACTGTAAAATCGTTGGAGCCTTGACCCACGGTTCGCGCAAACCTGTACGCGGCCTGTGAGGGGAGAAAAAGTGGAGGGGATTAAGTATGGCCGGTGATTATTTAATATATTCGGTCGTAAGACTTACCAGTCTTGATTTAATTCAATATCTCGAAATTCTCCGTCTTTGTGGACAAATGTAAATCCTTAATAGGGATATTTAGAACGACTGTTATATTAAGAATAGGATTCCGAATACATATAATACATGTAGCGTGAGAAAATACCAGAAAAAGTTGTCCCAAAGTCTAGAATTGTTGAGAAAGAGATAGAGAGAGAGGTAGAAATGGCGAGTGTTTTTAGTATATACTGCTTGCTTACTGCCAACGACAAGCTAAATGTTCTTTTCGGAGCAACCCGCACAGTGCGAGACGCACTGACCCTCTTTTCAATACATACCAATGGCTAAAATCACGCGTATGTCTTGATCATTCATGTCTAAAAGCTTGGAAAAAAGGCTGCTCTATTACAACTATACAGGTCGAACAAGAAGAGCTTGCTAAAGGGGGACAAATGGTTTAATATATTCGTGTTTGGGAACTGGGCAAGCAAAGTGGGCGTTCTTTAATGTTAGCTGCGGCTCATGGGAACGCCCTGAAGACTCCGGAATATATGACATTGTTGACCCGGAATGGGATTAGTTTCTTGTGACGTCATCCATGAAAGCCTAGTACTAGTCCCGATGGTTGCGGTTAATTCGTTACGTTTGTGTTTTTACATCTTTATATTTTATTTATAATTAATAATATGCATTTGTATATAATATCTTAGTACGAATACATTCAGTATAGTTATGTACAAACTAATTACAAAGTAAGGTCAACCGAGCTATAAAGAATTATATGTAACTAGCTGGTTAGAACTCTTCATACTAATAAACTAGGTAACAACTTTACAATAATATAATAAATATTGTCCAGTAGCAGAAGGGGGAGACAACCAAACAAACAAATAAACAAACCATCCGTCAGAGCGAAAAAAGAAAGTCGACACTCAAAAATTCTACTTCAGAGCAAACTGCAGACGTTGATTTTCCCTCGTTTTGGAACTGACAGAGTTGCTCAAAGAATTGCCTTTCTCTCGCTTGTTTGTTTTTTTCGTGTTTCACACAAGTTTGAGAAAATCCTCCCACTCCCAATTCCCTTTCCCTATTCCTTTTTCCTTTTCCTTTCCCTTTCCCTTTCCTTTTCCTTTTCTTTCCCATTCCCATTACTTTGCTCCCCACTTCCCTCTCATTGTTCATGTGGTCTGATAAAAAAGATCGAGCTTCCTCTTTGCGGCCAAGACTAGAAATATACAAATCCCTTCTGCAAAGCCGCATTAGGACCGCTACTTAATTTCGGAATCATGTTCTTTTTGACTTTTTTACAATATATTCTATACGATCTGACTGAATTTTTGTTCTCGTCGACTTCGCGGAGAGAATTTTCAAGAGTAGCCTCGTATTCTTCGAGGTTGGTATGGAGGATTTCGCTTAGTGCTGGGATACAGGATTTGGCATAACGGCGGATGTTTTGGCTCATCTATGTATTGGAAATGGAAACTGTTGGTTATCTACGACTCGTAATGTTGACGAAACTTTCTTGTTAAATCCTCCATATCTCAACCAACATACCCGTTCTCCAAGAGCGCCTCCCCAAGCCCCGACTGCAGTACTTCGCTCTTCTTTACATATGTCTGTGAGTTTATCGGATGATTTCAAACATTGCTCGAGATTTTGTTCGATATTGGGACTGAGATTGCGAGAAGCAAAGAGGGCGTCATCTGGTGGGAATTCAAAGTTGGATTGTTAGTTGCTTGGGTCAGTATCCGCTTATGTAAAATAACCCACGTTCCGTACTACCCATCCCCAATCTCCCATTAATACTCACTAGCTTCAAACAACTTTTCTGTACTCTCTCCTGCATTTTCCCATGTATTACTTAGTTCCATAATCTCGATCCATCCCCCAGTCTTGACGACTCGCACCAGTTCGGGGATAACCAAATCCTCCCACTGTCTCTCTGTTAATCCCAAGTTCATAAATCTGATATGAACAAAGTCAAACGTGTCGCCAGGAAATGGAAGACCATTGAGAATGTTGCATTGGAGAAACCCGGCATTGTGCGGTTTGGTCGAATCGGGGGGGAATATGGAAGCAATGTCGACCCCGATAAAGGTGGATTGGGGGTACAGATTAGCCATCTCGAGGATCCATGTCCCTGAACCACAGCTGCAGTAAACAAGCGGGAAAAGGTAAAAGCGAAGAAGGTAAAAGGGGGGATGATTAAAAGATAGTTGTCATACGTTTATAGTGAATAAGGAAGAGATTAGAAAAAAGAATTTTGGATCACACAAAGAATTGTCTTTATTCCTTCTTGTTGCACAAGTACGACTCGAAACGGCACAAGAATAACAATCAACAACAATCAGTTTCTCTACTCACCCGACATCCAAAATTCTGGTTCCCTTGACGAACAGCGACTCCTCAACTGGAGCAGAGAAATTGCTTCTCCATGTGTATCGGGTCAAATAATGTAGCATGTGCCATCGTTCTATTTCCTCCTCGTCGTTGGGGAGAAAGTATGGGATGTTGTCGCCAACGTAGAAGCGCCGGTCTTTGATGTATCTGTAATCTTCAAGTGAGAGGTTGGATGTCTGGCTCAGGTCGAGGGTTGGGAAGGTGTAACTCGTCGGCGATGTTGAATAGACTTGTGTTGTGGGCATGTTGATGCGGCTTTTTGTACAAAAAAGATGAGTAATATATGAGTTTTTGTCCTTTGTAATAAGCTGTCAAAAACTGAAGAGGGCGTAAAATTGCGGCAAATTTGAAAGGAGCGTTGTTGGATTTATATTTAAAAATGCATTCTTATCATTTTCTGTTACACCCGATTAGATGTACGGGTACATACAAATTGTCAAATATGGTTAGATTTGGTTTGCGTGTAACATCGACGTGTTGATGTTTTCTTATCTCTGTACCACTGAATAATTATTTACAACATGACATGTATTAATGTAAATGTCTTTACGACATGACCAAATCGCTCACATTTCACTTTACGTGTTTCTTTTCATCACATCTATGCCATTTTGATGTCTTTATGGGGATATTTTCGTCAACAAGCTTGGATTTTGCAATCTCTACGGATATATTCCGATCCTAAGGGGAAGTGCATTGTGCGGATGATTTCTATGCACGCTTGTAAAAAATAAACGAATTTTGATAGAATTGGCAAATCGTATATTATATGTAAATAAACAATTTACACCAATTTACAATGATATACAAATATTCGTATCATATCGATAGAGATATTGATTGTTTGGGTAATTCTATTCGTCGATCAGTGACATGAAACGTAATATTCCGATTTGTAGTGCAACAAATGAACATTAAACATCACCAAAAACAACTTCCAGAATCGTTCTTAGAACAAAACGAACTCGGATGGAAAAAAAAACTTGTCTCTTTTCAGGTTTCTGTCAATGAACAAGTTAAGACTAAGGCGCAATGAGAAGAGTTCTTGTAACACGAAAAGACCGGGATTTTTTAATCAGGAGGGAAAAACCTTATTGCAGACTTCACATTATTGGGCGTTCTGCCTGCATATTTTAAACACATTCGTGCATACACATACATGTATGTTCTTGTCAATGTGATTCGACGATGCCTTTATCAATGTCCTTAATTATATTTTAATCCTTTGGAATCAAGATTAGGGAGAGCGGTCAAGCTCTGTAAATCGTAAACTATTTGAAAAATGTCTCGCCATATCCCTGGCGTTTGTTGCGAGAATAGGCTAAACTGCTTGCCTATTTCAGAGTCTATGTATCTTTTTTCTTTTATTCTCAGAAGTTAGGAAAGTTTAGCCAAATGGGCTATTGTGATATTTCCATAGAAGGAATATCACGTACTTGCCTAACATGTCATAATTGGCTGATTTAATGACCATCAATCCATGCTGGTCACACTGCATTTTTGTTTGTACGCACGAATTTGATAAGAAAAAGAGATCAAAGTTCTTTGATACTGGATTACGGGTAATAAAATAAATCTATCTCGTACACTAACCTCCATCAAATTGTGACTCTCCATCATTCGCTTCTTTATGACTTTTCATCTCCTTGATTTTTTGACTTATCTTATCGGTCCTGTGATCATGCATGAACCCTCCACACACTGATAATCAATAGGTCACTTGATTCCAGGGGAATCATCTGACATTGTCACATGAAAAGCTTATCCGCAAAGACAAAAGTAGTAGTAGTTTAACACTTTTATGCATGAAGGAAAAGACCGCACACTACCGAAAAAATGAAAATGGAATGCAAGCAAGAAAGTCGAATGACTTGTATCTGTTGACAACAGTTATATGACCACTCGGAACTTGGCATGTCGTATATCGTATATAGCCCATGCATTCACGATTCTTCTTTGCAGAAGCCACAACTTTGGTTGGCAAGCCAAGGCTGAAAGTACAAACCAATCGTAAACTCAGTCGTGCGGCTACACTTGTCTACGCACATGCTTTCGTTGTAAATTTTACTTGATCAATAAAATATCAGTGTTTAATAAACAGTGATGCAAGAGACAACGTACATTGTTCGTGGATGTTCTCAATTGGTAACCGCATTTGCTTTGCTTATTATTATGCCAGACGTTCTTATTCACAGGACAGGGTAGTCGTTCATTCTTGTATCTCGAATTAACGTATCGCTTGATTCACCCATAATTAGGTCTGGGTTGTGAATATTCATTCTCTCATGACCGATCCGTCACTTGCAATGCAATGCTTCGCATGAGCGCTGATAACCGGTAATGCCTAAAATAAAAAGATTCATTATATTTATTTTTGAGTAATGTATTTCCTCATTAGACAACTGGTATACGATAACCTTATAATGATTTCCATTTTTCGTACGATAATGATGTTTAATCAAGATTAGCTAAATCCGTCCTCTGACTAATAATGATTTTATTCATGACAAATTTCAAAGTCACATTTGCCATGTCGGCGGATTATTTATCCAAATTCGTAAATAGTGTTTATTTGCAATAGAATCTTTGCATATTATCCATCATGCAAATGCTTATCTTTAAGCACGTTATTACATCTGCTAACCAGGATTAGATATGTGGACGTTCAAAATGTAAATCAATCTAATTACTAATTTAACTACTTCATTACAATGCTGTATCTTGTGATATAACCTCAGTTACGTACGTAGTACAGGACGCGCTCTTTGATTCTCTCAAAGAAATGTCTTGGTGGGAATGTAATATGGCTTGTGTTGTTAACTAATACTTGATAAAATAATTGTTATCTACTGCACAAGATCTGCTGAATATTTGAATACTAATACAAAGCCATTAAGTCATTTCTATATAATTGACGAGTGAGGCAGTAAACGACGTTTGCTCGAATAGTAATGCATCTCTACACTTGGGCGAGCGAGAGCCGTCTCCCAGTCTTCTAACATAAACAGCATTGCTTCCACATATTTTAGTTCTTTTTATTATGAATCTGTTCAGTAAACTTTTGTCTCTACGTCGTTTGAATGCTGATTGCTCCAAGCACGTAAAGGAACGTCATCTTGCGAGAGACTTCTTTGGATATAAAGCTTTTTAATGTCGCGTCTTTACCACTCTGTAAAAGATGTTGTTACTTTAAACAAACCGCTCATGATCGCTCTGCTCTAGTAAACGTGGTACACTAATTAATAGCTTCATAGTCGAGGATTCAGATTATCGACGGTAAAACCATTAAGCATCTGAGGCGACCCAGGATCATTAAAGAACTTGAATCATTTGTCAGCAGAAACGACTGCATAAAATTCGTACTACCACCAGTAATTGCTGTTGAGTAAGTTTGATTTACTCGCTTGCTGATGTATATTGATAACGTGTTATGATGAATTAATTTATGTAGTGCAAACTGCTCAAGAATAATAAATATGAATCGCATGCTATTTGTTGTACATCTTTTCTCAGAAAAATTGCGTTCGTTTACTGCATTAAATATTATCCCACTATAACAATATATGACTCGTTCATTTTTCCTTCTCTTCGTCACGTGTAAATCTATCTTCCAGGAACCACCATAATACACCAGTCAGCACCACAAATCCGAGACTACTACCGAAAACGGCATAAGTGTTGACATAATTGGTTGGGCATTGCAAAGCTGTTGCATTCGTTGCAGTTGCTGGCGGAGGTCTGTATGCCTTTGGCACCCACGCGAGAACAACAATTAAGAATGCAAACAGAATGAAAAGTATCACGGCAAATAAAGGTGCCCTGTATGAACGTCTCTCTCTCTCTCTCTTTCGTAATACCTGTTTCAAAATGTAGACATTTCATTAACATGAAAAGTATAAACGTTATGTAATTAGTAATAATACACATACCAATGCACCAATAGCTGTGAGGAGGAGGAAAAAGTACGCTGAGTATTGCTCGAGCTCGGCTAGAAACTCAAACGGACTGCTGCCGGGAACTATCAGGGTCAGAATGGAGCACCACGCAAAGAGCGCTATAAACGAATTTACGGGCGTCCCTAGTCGAGCATTCCAAGTTGACAGCCACGTTGAAATAAACGGGACATAGTTGTGCTGGCCTGCTAACTCTATTACCCTTGAAGCACTAAGATAGACGTATTATAAGTTATATAGTATGTATAATAACAACTCGATCTATTACCTTTGCATCAACACGGCAGCAGCACCAAAGGCACTGAGAGCAATGAAAAAGGCCAACGCTCGCACTGCTTTGTCTGTGGCGTCTGGATTATCAATCTCATCGTTGACATGGCTGATTTGGGTGGCAAAATAAATGCCTATAATTTCGTTAGGATCCGACCCCGTGTTTCCGGTTATGGTGCTAACGTTCAGTACCGCCGTGTAAGCAAAATTGGCCAGCAGATCTGTTCGATGCAAGTTGGCGATGAGCGCGTTTTAGTTTGGACAAGAGCAGTGTCGATTAACCGAAATTACTTACACAATATAGTGACTATCCCGACTGCTCCTGTATTACTTATCAGAAGGTTCATATAAGAACCTCCCATCTCATATTCCTCAGTGAGGTCTGGAGAAAATGTTGTTAAATATGCAGGTCACGAAAAAACCACATCTATTCTCTTTAATTTGATGCTTACAGTTAAGATTGTTCCAACCCGAGTACGCAAACAGAATCGTCAGCATTGCAGTTATGTATCTTTGAATCCATTCCGTAGCGCTGACATTCTCATAGAAAGAAGGATCTGCCGGAGAAAACATATCCCAGTTTCTGTTTTCATTGCTCGCTCTCTCTGCTAACGCTTTTGCAAAAGACAATCCAAGTATGACAACAGTCAATACAGTCAAGACTTTTATCATCGCCAAGGCCTGGTTGATCCTATTCGACCATTTGTTGGAGAGCGAATGGTACAAGGCTATCACCGCTAAAATTGCGATGGTAACTAACCTAAGTCTCCTATATAATAAAACAAGAAATAAGCAAATCGCGAATATTCCCATTTAAAATAAATCGTGGCATTTATTACCAAAAGTGGCGTCCGTTAAAATATTGAGGGTGGAAATCATAGTATAAATCGCATCCGTCGCTGCCATTCAATCCCAGCGCAAATAACAAGTACTGGGCACAAACATTTGCTACCGCCGATATTCCGGCAGGTCGAATTATCCTAAAAGCGACAGTCAAATATCCCATCTTTTATCTACGCAAAAACCCGATCGATTGTTTTCTTGTACTCACGTGATGTACACCATGGTAAACGAGTAACTGAGGAGCAGGCGGGGCTTTGGGAAACTGTGTTCCAAATAAGTCGTCTCACCAGCACCGATGTGAAACTGACTTCCGAGCTGCGTAAAGTCGATTAATATAGCATATGTCAAATTTTTATAATTTAATCGATTGATGTTTTACTGTTACTACCTCTGTGTACGTTAAAGTTCCACAGAGACTCGCAAAACCCCCAATTGCCCATAAAATAAGGGCAATCCAGGGAGAGCCCACATTGCGCCACACGCTGCCTAGAATAGAACGGTAAATGATGACAACGTTTATGACATGTAAATACCAAGTTTTCTTACCAGGAGATGAAAAAATTCCTATTGAAACGAAAATCTCTTAGTCACAGTGTAGAGCCATAACAAACTGCATACGTACGTACGTACCAGCACCGATCATATTGTTTATGTTATTCCCTAAACCACCTGCTACTCCAATAAACTTTTTCCCGTCTATCCATTGCAGAAAGTCAAATTTCTGGAAAGATTAGTAAACCCACTCCAATTTTTTCGCTGCGTATGATGTATTTATAGTTTTTGGACTACAATAGGAAACTACTACTGCTATTCTAAATTTGGTATCTGAAATAATTTGTTCTCCGTCGGATTAACTAAATTTGGTGATATGACCTACAATTTGTGCTAAATCGAGTCATGGGGTACACACTTTTCTCAAATTGTGCGAACAATAACTCTGACTGCAAAAACGGAATGTATGCTGTATACCAGTTATTACTGATTATTCCTAATTGCGGGATTCTGGCTTAGCTATTCGTGTATGTAGCTTGCATTCACATGCAATCATAGGGAAGCACAAACGGAGAAACGTACCGGTTTCACGTCAAGTCAATCAATAATATATTCGATTGTATATGTGATTGTCTATTAATAGTTCTTGCAGTTTGCACTAGATATAAAACAATTTGCCTTCGATTTCGTCGAATCTTTGACATTTAGGATTGTTATTTAATTCTTTATAAACACGTTTAATTCCCCAACCTACAGGCTTTTGAAATTAATCCCATCGAACAAGTAGATCAAGTTGAAGGGACGGCTTATACAAGACCGATCAAGCTTCGAAACCCCCAATTTTAAGGCCACTAAGTTTCGCTTATAAACTGACAGGTGTAGAGTTAGTTAAAGGCCTCGCTTGAAAGGGTTAAATCTCAAGGTTGATATACGATCGTATTGATCCGACATATCTCAGCTAAATATTGAAGCAAACAAACGCAATATTCTTTATCTAGAAATCAAAGGCAAGTTCTTCATAGGCAAATAAACCAGTTGCCCAGCGAATACGTGTATTATATACCCCATCACACACACAATTTGCATGGTAGATTCCACTTCACTGATAACACCAAACTGACACCAATTCAGTTGTCAATCTCGATAAAAATTACCAAGATACTGTGTAGCTACTTAGTATTCCTTTAAGTTCTCGCAAATGTATCCAATGTCAAAATTCTACCCAAGAAACGAAAGTCCCCATTACTGATGCTCTTAGTAAAGAATAATGATGTAGTATAGCGTAAACCATTATTCATACTCTGAGCTGGGTGCGTATGTTTGAATAATGTTTTGCTAACAATGTTCACATCTACCTGTAAACTGAAAATAAGCATCTGTATGTTAGATACTATATATCAGATATGGACACAGTACAGTCGCCCCTCATTTGTATCCTACCCTCGGATATAACTCAGTCTTAATGCTGGACGAATTTCTCTATTGTATCTCAGTATAAATTTCCCTCGGTTGTATCCTACTCAGATATATCCCTTCCCCAATATTCCAATACCCCATATCTTTATGATTATTATTATAATATCGATATGGACTCCCACTTTACTATAAACATTATTCGTGTTACATAAAAAATTAGTTATGAGTTCATGACTTGGATAATGAAAAAATGACAAGAAGCCCTAAACATTGAAGAAGCAATTGAAATTGTTACGGTTGGTACATATCTTTAGTGGGAGAGCGATATTATCTTTTACGTAGGCGTGTTCACCATCTGGGAGCTTAGCTCGTACTACCGCTCTTACTCCAGTAGCTGTACAATTAAGACTGAACTATGTTTCGAGTGTCCTAATTCGCGCGTTTAATTACTCCCTATACGATGTAATTCCTACTCGTATCCAAATAAGGGTACAATTTAATCGTTGAATCGATCGAATGCTGATCATTTTTAGATTCTGGAAGAATCTTCGCAATAAAGATAAAAAGAAAAGGGATAAAAGATTATCCAGTGTGACCAGCAAGTGTCTTGATCGTTCGAGATAATGCAAGACTGAGAATGTATATTGAAGCTGATTTACCAGCACTAGCTAGTAGAGCATCATCTTGTCTGCAGAGCCAGCAGCATGTTAGTAGTTCCTGAATTAGGCAAAAGAAGATTGGTTAAATGAGTGCTATTATATAAAGTATAGTTAAAATTAATTTATTAAATGCATACAGAAACGACCATTTCGTGTATTCAACATTGGCAGCAGCAAAGTAAACCCAAGTCCAAAGGACATATTGTGCCCATTTTCTATAATAATCCTCAACAACTTTCAATTGAACTTTCCCAATCCGGGAGTTTGTTCACGCATGTCTGTGACTTATTGATGAAAAAAACGTGTAATCGTAATGTGTGGCAAATACATTATAAATGGCACTTCAACAAAGAAACGTCCACATTATTTCTTGTTGGTGTAACAAGGTACATTACATTCGATTTTTAACACCAAAGATAACAATCACAGCTAATCAACTATTCAAGATGTCGAAAAAGGTCAGAGAGTTTCGAGGTGCTTCCATAGAATTGATTTCGCCTGTAGCGCAAGTGGTGTATTTTCCCGGTGTAGCCGAACTATTCACTATCATTGAGCGAATCGTTGTGCTCATCGACACCGCAAGATATAATAGAGAAGCATTGCTTTACATGAAGGTGTATATGACAGAAGTAAAGCAGACAATCCGTGACAATAGTGAAACAATAAACGAGGAATATACCCCAAGTTTGATGAAAGCGCTGAAAAAATTGGGAAAAGTTTCTGGTCCAATATACCAAGCCTAAAATGAAAAAATTATTGACTATCCTTAATGTTGATAAGGTAAACATTATGAGTGTTTTTTAATATGATTTTTTCCTATATCGAAAGACAAGCTGAATTTTCTTTTCTGTTATAAATTTTAATTCACAGATAGATCGAAAGATACGTGACCTATTTACCGACCTGGACAACGCCCTCAATGCTGCTGATCTAAGAGTAACCTTGGAAAACAATAAAGATCTTAAGAAGATATTGGGAATCACAAAGAGGGTGGATGAACACATGATGGACTTGGATAATAGGATTAAAATTGATATCACAACTGTGAAAGACGTGGTGACGGAGAAAGTTAAAAATTCTTTCATGACTACTGCAATTTTCCATGGCGTTCCGTTATCACAGGAAATAATAGACGAATTAACGATTAACCCAGAACATATCAACCCCGTTTGCGATGCTCAACCTAATGGCGATGTTTTTACAAAAGTTATATATTGCGGTGGTCTTTATGCTGCAAAAGTTAAAATTGCAAGAGCTCACAACGACATTAGTCTGTCCTGGGCACAGGCCTTTATGAGCTCCAAATCGAATGAGGGTTTATTCACGAAAATGTACGTATTTATCATATATTACCCGTTTTCGTTATCTAATTGCTGACGAATATTATTGTTTGTCGCAGCTTCGGCATTCTACTGGACGGAGGAACTTATTACATGATTACAGAGTGGCCAGGAAAGGGAACGCTCTACGAATACCTTAAGACACACAGAGATATTCCGTGGTCACTAAAGATAAGATGGGCGATTCAATTAGCACGTGCGCTTGACACTTGTCACAGTAAGTTCATTATACACCATGTCATTCACAGGTAGGGAAACGAGTATTGCAATGTCGAATTAGGCTTTTTTCTAGTAACGTGTTCAGCTACTGCTTTTTCCCCCGACATTTAGTCGTAACGTGATCGTAGATATGAACGACAACGTCAAATTAACAAAATATCTTCGTGACAGAAGAACGGATGATTGTATAGAAATAGATTCGTTTGTGTTTGCTGATGAGTATGATGTTATCAGATGGTCATGTCCTGAAAAACACGATCCTAATCCCACGTTTCCTATTACTATGTCGGCCGATGTATACAGGTATGTATGTTTGTAATGTGTCATTGTTCGGTGATAGTTACAATAGAATTGACAGAGCTTGACATTATTATAAGCAACTATACAGTATTACTATATTTATTGTCCAAATATGTAGCTTCGGCATGCTTATGTGGGCAATAACTTCTCACGAGATTCCTTTCCCAGACAAATCCATTGTTGAAGTATATACCTTATTAAAAAATTCAGTTAGATTCAAAGATCAGGACGCTCCGCGCCCGCCAGTAGTTCCTGGTACACCAGAAAATTACACGAGTATAATGCAGAAATGTTGGAGACAAGACCCAGGAAATCGTCCAACAATGGCTTACGTTGTAGCGGAACTGGAACGACTCGAGATGTACAGGAAAAATTCACCCGATGCAGATACTTATGGGACTTGCTCTAGTAGTATGCAAGAATCTGAGCCGCGCGAGCCGGAGCCAATAACGATCTATTCCGCACGCAAGTTACATGCTGAAAAGCGCTACAGAGAAGCCTTCAAACAGTTTAAAACGCTCGCTGACGACGTGAATCCCGACGCTGAAGCAAACTTCTACGTCGGCAGATACCTCATGGACGACAGAATCGGTTGTGGCAATGATCTTAATGTGGGGATAAGCTATTTAGAAGTAGCAGAAGATTTGGGATGCAGTGAGGCAATTCAGTATCGTGCTCAAGAGAAAATGGCAGCAGCTGCGGAACTGCGAAAAAGGTTTATAGAAGCGGGAAAACTCGATGATGCGAATTTAATTTTGGAAAGAATGAAGACAGAGTGTCTACCATTGTTTCGTAATGGTGCGGATCGCGGCAATCTGCGTTGTATGAAAGATTTAGCTGATTATGGGGCAAAGCTAGGAGATAAGCAGAGTTACGTGGACGGTCTTAGAATGTTGGATAACTTAATTGCAAAAACTCAAGATCCTAAGCAGAAAGCTAAAGCACAAGATTATTTAGTGAAGTTGCAACAGCACAAAAACGCATTTATGTATTGAGAATGAAGACCGCGTGGTTGTATTTATGCAGAACATTGACGAGCATTTTAAATTTAATTGATCGTTTTTCCACACCAACAGCTATTATGTATTTCATGCCTGGACAAAGTTTTGTTATTCGTATAATATATAGTAAATAATCGTTTATTATTATTATAGCACCATTTTTGTATTTATTTTCAAACAAACAAATATTAATATAATTGTGAACATAACCATCTCACCACAGCATCTAAACATAAGAATGTGTGGAACAAATGAACATTAACGATTTTCAAGGAAGATGGCCTTTTCGCTTTCAATACACTTTTTATAAGTATTGCCTCACAATTTCCATTTATCGCCCTGCTCAATTTAAATTATAATTTAACATTGGAATTTTTTCACTAATTGACATAACTGTCCAAGTCTGTTATCATCCAGTGGCTGTTGCTTCCCATCATTTGAATGGATCACTGTCCAGATGTATTTGTGGTAGCCTTAGATAATAGGATATAGGGTCATCAATATAATTACTCTCTTGACTTGTTCTCTCTTCAATATAATAATCAAAGAGAAATGATTTTTGAAGTCTTCAGTTCTGTGTTCTATGTGAGTCCTGCATATTATCAGGCAAACCTGATGTCCTAATAGGTTCAGAGTTTACTTTAGAGATTATAGAGCTTATACTTAGTAGTTTTTGGTATTTTTCATAAAGACTAGTATGCACATACCATTTTTTAGAAGAATCAATAAAGTTAAGGCTTTTCCACCTTGGATCAAGTAAGGAAGCTAGAAATCCAGTATCTTCTGGCATATTAATATCCCAATATAACTAGTGTAGTATTGAAGTTCAGTCAACTGCGTTGACCGGGCAGGTTATAATAGAGTACAGTTAATACGTTAAGTAATGTGCAGTAGTTAGTTTTATTTTTGATATGCGGGTTAAAATGGGGAAGTTATTGAAAGTTGTTGAGCAACACGTTGTAGTCTTTCATATTCTTTTACTACATTTGAATCGGTTATGGAAGCAGTTCTGTCTAATGCACTGATGTTGAGGTTTTCCCAAATCGAACACCTGCTGATTTCAACATAAGCTTGACCTGGAGAGAATATGTGATGATCTAATGATACAGTTATTTTTGGTAATGTAAAACCCTGAGTTTTATGTATTGTTAGAGCAAATGAATTCTGTAGAGGAAACTGAGTTCGAGAAGCTTTTTGCCCTGCAGCATAAAAGTAGGAGGTAGTGTTGTTGTATCCAACTATTGCACTATGTACACAAAATGCCACTTGGACAGAGTGTAAATCTTTATCAAAGTCAGTGATAACGCCAATAGTTCCATACAAATACCTTTTTCTATAAAAAAATTATTTAAGAACATTACGCGAGATCCTTGTTGAATGCATACGGTCAGTGGCCCCGTCGAAGATTCGTTTTCGTCGGAATCTTCTGTATCTTCTTCTTTTTCAGGAACGAAATATGTAAATCGTATCAGTTGGGAGTTATCGTCGGCCGACAGTATGCGAGATCTTTTTGTATGTTGTATTCGTTTATGGATTATACAGTTTGTTGGGTAATGTAAGCAATGACGGAAACGGAAGCGGGCTTTTTTTTTATTATTACTTTTTTAAAGAGAAAAGTAATGTAGAAGGTATGGTAATTGGGAATTTAAGTTTTTTTATAGAATTTTTTAAAGAGATATTTTATGTTTGTTTTTGTTTGTTTGTTTGCTAAGAAAATGGCGAATATTGTCATAAAAGAAACAATTTATGTTATGTATTTTTCGGTAAATTTTTGGTATCTTAAAAAGCAGTAAATAAACATGATTACACATCAGTTAATTAAATAACCGTTTGCTATTAAACTCAATTATTATGCGCAAGATTTTTGTCTGAATGTATTTCCTTTTTTGTAAATAAAACAAGAATAATTTTCTTGATCAAAAAAGGAAATGTATTATAGTTACGTATTAAATTTTCTATTTCTCATGTGCTTTTACGCAATTATGTTTTTGAATCCATCTAAATTTTGATTTAATCAACTAAGCGATAATAACATTTCTTGCCATTTTATTTTTGAGGTAATTGTTATTTGTAAATTATATTTGTATTTTGAGAAAAGAAAAAAAAAAGCTGCGTCATATTAGGTTTTGTTTAACGGATTAGAGTTCTCAAGCGTTTATCTTATTTTAAACATCGCGTAAGGTTTAATCTAATGAAAGTTGGTGAAACATCTGTAGGTTTGACAATAACGATAAATATGTTAGTCACAACATGACAAATAGATCGACTTTGGGAAAAATATTTTAATCTGTTACTTCTGCTTGCTTTATTTTGTTTTGCTTCAGATGAAATGAAACGTACTATTTAAAGTATAGTATAGTATATAAAAACGGGTTAAAAAAAAACGTTGCGGAAAATCAGTGACAGTACAAAACGTTATAATTGGCATAATTAATTGTTCTTCTATAATTAGTGAAAAAGCGTTACGTTTTTTTAGTGACGCTCGAAGATATATGAGTAGCTCATATTCCATCGCCAAATGTTATCGTTGTGAAAACATCAAAAGTTCGAATATTGTTGTGAAATAAAATAATGCCACTGATCTTAGTAGTATTCTCCCGAAATCCTTTATTGTCAATATTTCTATCGTCGAAATAATTGATTATTAGGCCGGCACTCCAATAAACGGCTCCTTAAGCTGTAACGGAATAGCATTAATTTTGATCAAGCTAGTAAGCTGTCCGCACGTGAATAACGGAACGAGAGTTCATAATTAATTATCGAGACGATTATTGTTTAATTAGTTTAGAAGGCAAGTGACGGATACCGACTAGTCGAAACACAAATCGAAGATAGCCCTGTTTAATTTTTAAAATAGTATTATTCCCCTTCGATTCTTTAGTAGAATAATTGTTGTTGTTATTCTATTAGAGGTACTCTTATTGTATTCACGAGTGTTTGAAACTCGGATAGGGAGTGAGAAGCGCGCATAATTAAAATAGGTCACTTGTAGGCTTAGTTCAGTCTTAATTGCACAATTATCGTAGTAAGGGCGATAGTACGAGCTAAGCCTGGTAACATCCCCCGGTCGGCGAACACACCTACGCGAAAGATAAATCGCTCTCTCAAACCCCCATTTAATTCCCGACAGTGATGACTTTATTTTTTCTTCCAGGTTATCAAACCTTTGTGGAAAAGTAATGGGAAGTTGTTCATTGTTGATAGTACTCACAATTATATTATCATTTGTTACATTCTCAGAATTATTATCAATACTAGTCTCTCGTATGTAAACATTTTTATCTTGGTCCAAGATGGTAATGGTTGCTTAATAATCTGTGTAAGGGTGGAGAGATCTAATGAATAACTATCTCTGATAGTTTAGATATGACAGGATACATATTAATATGACTCTGTGTAAATTACTGTGACCCAGACAATAACCTTGTTGCTTCCTCAAATGGTGCAAGATTTTTTCAAAGGTGTTCCATTCTTCATTTATGAGGTTATATCTTCTCAGTTTTTGCCCATCCTGCCTAGCATCTCTTGCTTGGTGATGCAATTATTGATGTTATTGCATTATACAAATAGAGTAAACATTCCCAAGCATAATATGTAGAGTTTCAATGAGTTGGAACATCTTTGATAGTCATAAGAATTTCATTAAAGCTACACTGCTCCTGTGCCCTTTTTAGTTGTTCTATTTGTTTTGGTGAATTAAAGAAACTAATAATAATAAGCTGGCAAGTATGTGGCATGACTGAAGAATTATCTGTTGTAATGAATAGAACTTTCTCTTTCAAATTCCAAGCTTCTATCATCTCTTCCAAAACAGTTCTTATGCTGTCAACTGTGTGACATATATGTAATTCCCTAACATTGAGAGTAACCCACGAAGTTGAAAGTCGACAGCCAACTTGCTGTTATTCCAATATAAATATAGCTTTCTTGTGCACAAGAGGTCCACAAATCTGTCATAAGAGAGATTCTATTTATTAAGCTTCATAGATGATTGTGAATGCAATGGGCTATTCCTGAGGGTTCATCTCAGCATCGCTTCATTATGGGCTTGCGTGATTAACGATTATACTAGTCGTAATTGTATTAGCCGTTACGTATACGAGTCGCCACGATAACTACATGTCTAGGCGAATATTCCCTGTACTCTCTACGTATTCCTTCTAAGATACGGGAAGCTTAACCCAACGAGCGTAGTGACGTTTCGCTTGGCGTCATATCGAACTCTTTATACTCTTCATTAGACAACAACAACAACGACAACGACAACAACAAAACGACAATATAGCGACGACAGCGACAACAGCAATAACGACAATAACGACAACAACAACGCAGCAGAGCCACCACCACCACTTCAGCTTGTATTTGCACTTTGGAGGAGGAAAAGTTGTTGTGAGTATACATGTGCTATGGTTCAGCGAATTAAGTATTAACTCTTCACTTGGCGTCGAGTGTTAACCTAGCCGCAACGGAATACAAGTAAGCTTATAGAAACATAACATTGTCATAGGCTAACGATATCCTTAAATGCTATCGGAGTCAGCTTCCGGTTCAGTGAATTATCTAGCAATAATAATTATGAACGCTCTCAATAGTTGAGAGTCGAATATCCTGTAAGAGGAATTCCCATTCACCCAACGTGAGTCGCACCCAGGCAAGACGTTATACATACTCAGAGGTGGTGACAATGACAATGTATGTGGAGGTTGAGCTACTTCTTCGATATGTTAAGTGAGATAAACTCCGGCGAACGATAAATCGCTTTGTTGTATCCAACCGTAAGCCTCGGACCGTAATACGCCTTCTTTATACACACTAGAGATAATGATAAACATTAACTCTCTTTCACTTAACATCATCGGTAAAGAAAGTTATTAAATGTTCGCCACGAAGGAACACATAGTAAAACCACTACGTTACGAGCCGACGGAAAACTCGCCCCGTTTTGATACAGGTAATAATATTAACACAACATCTTTAACTCTTGCTCGAACGACAGTCTTCTCGGCGAATAGTTTCACCGAATAGAGGTTATCTTCAGCAAGCATATCGCTTCGTTGCAATTTACGTAAGTCTTTCTAGCGAATACGTCGCTCCGTTGTCCGTTTAACGATTAATAATGAATAAACTTAAAACAGTTTTATTCTTCATGTACTATCGTTACGAGAGCTTTTTAATAACTTATAAATTGCATTTATTATCCTTTCATTCGAACGAATCAGTTTCAATAATAGATCGCTTGCAATTGTAGCTAACAAAGTTTTTGACGATGTTTCGTTATGCATTAAATCCATGTCGATGTCGATCATCGATTTTCAGGGACGTTATACTATATACAGGGTAAATCATGTTTATTTACAATTGGGGACGGATTTGTTTTATCGGTAATTAGAACGACTGAATATTTTCAGCTGTGAGGAAAGGTCGTTTTTAACTAATTTCTAACTACCGCAGTATTTTATATCCAATAAAATATGAAAAATAATTCGGACTTATCGTAATAATGATTGACAGCCTTTGAATATTCTGGCTTTTGCTTTTTATCACATGGTATGCAGAATAAATTCCCGAAAGTAGTCATTATTGACCAATAAGAGTGGAAGGCTTGCTGAGATTATCTATTGACATAAACGATTGAGGTGTGGATGTGTATTTCATAAATAATAGTGTTAGGTGTTTTTTTTCACAATCCGAACCAGATTGCTAAATTCCTTACAGTTTGTGGCTGCTCTTCTCCTGGCAGATACAAATTGTGTTTCAATGGCGTAGTCTGTATTGCACAACTTTCCACGAGTTGATTACAGAATGCTCGCTGACCGTTTTCCATTATCCTCATCAAAAAAGACCCACACCCAAGCTTTTATTATTATCTGCTCTGTCACTGTAAATATCTCTAGAACGTTTTGAACTAGTACTTGACATAGACATTGTATTGGAATCAAATCAGTTAATCACTAGTGCTGAAATTCCCGTGACCGATTTTCTGTTACCTAATCTCATAAGCTCAAGACAATTTTTATGCCCAAATTCTTTCACGCCTAGACATAATCCAAACACAAAACAGTTTTGTTATCACTTAATCTACTTTATTAGTATTTGTTATTTATCATTCATTCTTATAAAACAATCAAAAATAAGAACTTCTGGTGTAACAAACGTTTGTTAATTTCACGGTGTACAATTCCAACTCTCGCCTTTATTAAACTGTGAATTCAAACATATCGACCACGTTTTGAATACCATACATTGTCCATAATGTCGAGAAGTAATCTTGGGGCTAGGATTGAATTGATTTCTCCTTCGGCGAGGGCAGTGCGGTTTCCAGCCGTGTCTGATATATTGAACCTTACTGATCGCATCATTAAGCTCATTGATGCGGCGAAATATAACAGAGAAGCATTGCCTATCATGAAGTTATATGTGATGGAAGTAAAGGCAGCCATTCATGAGAACAAGGATATTATTGATGAGGAATATACACTAGATTTACTGAAAGCACTGGAGGATTGGGAAAGGTTTCTCGAGCAATATACTAAACCTAAAATGAAAACTTTGTTGAGATTTCAGAATGATGAGCAGGTCCGTAATCGAGCACGTTTTGAATTTACCTTGAATGTTTACTTCTGGCTTTACAACAGTTTACGACTTTATTATGTATTGTATAGATAGACAAAAAGATAAATGGGCTGTTTGACAAACTGGATAACGCTCTTAATGATGCTCATCTTGAAGTAGACTTGGAAAATAACGCGGTGCTGAAAGAGAAACTAATGTACATGCAAGAGAGACAGTTAGAATACATAAAGATTCCGCGAGAGAAAACACATGATGCGGGCGGCTGTGGCATGATGGACATAGATGAGGATCCACCCTCTGTAACTCATCCTTGTTCTACTTCTATCAAGGATGAGATTAGGAAAACCTTCGAAGATGATTTTGTTACAACTGCGTGTTTTCATGGCCTTCCATTGCCATCAGAAAAAATTAAAGACTTAAAGATTGATCCTAAATGGGTCCATTCTATCTCTGGCCCTCAACCTAATGGTGCTGGTCCCCAAAGGGTAGTTTATTGCGGTGGGGAATACGCTGCGAAGATTAAAATCGCGCAAGAAGGAGAAGACATTAATAAGTACTTGGTACAGGCCTATATTAGCTCTCAACTTAATACGGATTTGTTCATGAGAAAGTATGTATTTATTACACTTTGCACGTCACTTTAGAAATATTTGCTACTCCCTTTGCATTGTTTTAACTATTTGCTCCTCTTCATCTAGTTATGGAATTTTACTGGAAGAAGGAGTATATTACATGATCACAGAATGGCCAGAGCTAGGAACGCTCAGTAAATATCTCGTCGAGAATATAAATATTTCATGGGGTAAAAGAATAAACATGGCAGTACGTTTGGCAAGAGCGCTTGACATTTGTCATAGGAAATACATTCTGCATCATGACATACGCAGGTAGGGAGTGTGAATGATACTATCAATGTTTTATCAGTCTTTACCGTTCTGTTGGTCCACATTACTTTATAATACGAATTTCTGATTACAGTCACAGCGTGGCTGTATGCAAGAACAATGTTGTCAAGTTAGGCAACTATCATCGTACCAGAAGCACAAAAGACCTTTCGACTCCAGTTGCTGAAGAGTCAGATGGTGTCAGATGGTTATGTCCCGAGAAGGTGGTGGACGGTAGGCGACCCTACTCGATGGCAGCCGATGTATACAGGTATGAGTATATTCAGTTCTGAAAATTCAATCAGTCTTTGAACGTAGTTATCACTGTCCAGTCTGGGATATTGGAATTGGTATCCTATATTTACGTAATTTTATTATACGAATTTACAGTTTCGGTATGCTTATGTGGGAAATATCTTCGCATAAAATTCCCTTTACGGATAAAACTGTTGGTGAAGTATATACTTTACTGAGAAATTCAGCCAAGTTCAAAGATAAAGACGCGCCGCGTCCCCCAATTATCGATGGTACACCCAAGAAATACGTGAAAATAATGAAGAAATGCTGGAGACAAAACCCAGGAAGTCGTCCAACAATGCCTTTCGTTGTAAAGAAACTGGAACGACTCGAGGAGATGTACAGGAAAAATTCAACCGATGCAGATACTTATGGGACTTACACTAGTAGTATGCAAGAATCCGAGCCGCGCGAGCCGGAGCTAATAACGATCTATTCCGCACGCAAGCTACATGCTGAAAAGCGCCACGCAGAAGCCTTCAAACATTTTAAAACGCTCGCTGACGACGAGAATCCCAACGCTGAAGCAAACTTCTACGTCGGCAGATACCTTATCGACGACAGAGTCAGTTATGAGAATGATCCTAATGTGGGGATAAGCTATTTAGAAGTAGCAGAGCAGCTTGGATTCCATGATGCCCTCCAGTATCGTGCTCAAGAGAAAATGGCAGCAGCTACGGTACTGCGAAAAAAGTTTATAGAAGCGGGAAAACTCGATGATGCGAATTCAATTTTGGAAAGAATGAAGACAGAATGTCTACCATTGTTTCGTGAAGGTGCGAATCGCGGCAATCTGCGTTGTATGAAAGATTTAGCTGATTATGGGGCAAAGCTAGGAGATAAACAGAGTTACGTGGACGGTCTTAGAATGTTGGATGACGTAATTGCAAAAACGAAAGATCCTAAGCAGAAAGCTAAAGCACAAGATTTTTTGGTGAAGTTGCAACAGCACAAAAACGTATTTATGGATTGAGAATGAAGACCGCGTGGTTGTATTTATGCGGAACGTTGGTTTAATTAGCAAGCATTGTTATTTTTAATGCGAATAATTTAATTGATCGTTCTTCCGCATCAACAGTTATTATGTATTTCATGCCTTGCCTTGCCGGCACTTGGACAAGGGTTTTATATATAGTGTGTAGTGGGGCCGCCCGATTTCATTGGTCGGCCTTTAGCATTTTGTCGATGGACAAGTTTAATCTTAGAATGCATTTCACGACTACTAGTGCGGGGAACTCATCCCAAGAGAAATGTAATCATACGACTCCTGTTGTTAAAAGCAAAATTATGCTTTCTCATAATTGTAATATATTTCTGTTTTTTCGAATAATTTTAACCATAATATCAACGTTAATCCATCTAGTGTATTCATGCTAATTATAATAATCAATAATCTGCAAATTGTAATCAAACTAAGATATGAACACAGAATCGATCGTGCAATTTGTTGTTTGACGATCAATTTTTAATCTATAGAGTTAACAGAATATGAACAATAAAAGCAACGTAGAATTCTTGAGACAGTACGTGCTTCTGAGGCAAATTCTGCATCGGAATTAGAATTGGAATTAATTTACTTTTTTTTATATGAAATCATCATGACAATTGATAATAATAAACAATGTAAATTTTCTTTTACTAACGCGCGAGAACGGACAGATTGCAACTGTAAATTTAGCCGGTGCACCAGAAGCTGTGCCTGTAAAATTAAATAGCAAGGAACATGTTTGGGAGATTATAGACAGTACTTTGCCAAAGATCTAATGAGGTATAACTATTTGTTAAAATAACATGGTGTACAATAATTAAAGCAATCGGGTCACACCACAATTGCTAAGCTATGTACGTAATATTTAATAAGCTATAGCAACACACATCCTTGGCGTTCTATCCAACGTTTTCAAATCCTGCACTATCAGACATTTCCCCTGACCAGAATAATAATACAAAGACACAATATTTAAAACAAATTCTTCTGTGTTACCGTTCTAGCAATGCTGCTCGAGCAGTCGTTTAACAAAGCAAATCTATTGTTCTCTCCGTAGTTTTTCTTAAAATTGTCTACCGCCTTTTCACTCAGTGCTTCTATTTAGTAATATTTCACAATTTCGCCTCACTACAATCCCAATCGATCCAATCTTAATCTCATAATATACCAAACAGATTTTCAAGTCTATTCAATAAATAACTCCCTTTTCTAAAAATTATGCCTTCCATGAATTTCCCCATATACATACGGTCCGCTCTTTATCTGCACTAAATAAATGCGTGCCTTGAGGACTCCAGGATACGCCACATATTGCAGCACTAAATCATGATAGAGAGACAAATTAATTAGATAGTGCGAGTTACATCAATCATATAATTATAATGTGAATGCATTACTTGTGCTCCTTTGCTGTTTTTTCAAGTTTCGACTTGGTCGTGTTCCAATAATATATCGTTCCATCTATCGAGACAACATAGCGATTAGTTGAACTCAGCAAATACATTGCTTAAAAAGTTGTAGCAAATGGTTGTTATTGATTACCTATTGATCCAGCAGCGACAAATTGACCGTCAGGACTGAGTAGAAGAACAACAGGAGCAAAGGAGATTAGTCAGTATATCAAGGGTCGATGTATTCCTAAAAGCATAACGTGTGATCGCACTTGCCGTCCACTCTTATCTTTTATTCTTACCTGAAGCATGCACGTGACCAGTTTGCACCATTTTTGTATCCTTCGGCACTGGTTTATAAAATAAGAATAAGCTAAACAACGTCGTTCGTATCATGCTCCATTCTTAACGTTATGGGCGACTTACTGTAGTGTCTGGACTACTTCATACGACCTCAAATCGACTATTTTCAATGTATTATCGCGCGAACTAGTCAGTACTTTCGATCCATCTATAATTAAAAACATGATATTTAGTATTGCGTATCTTTCATATAACAAGCAGGCTGCCCATAGTACCTGGTGAAACTGAGACAGATGTAATTTGTCCCAGATGTATGCCTGTCATCTCTTTGATATCTTTTCCAGATCTCACATCCCAGAAACGAAGATTGTTGTCAAGATGGCCGGACGCTAAGGTAGATCTTACGAATGGAAAACATCGTACTTGCGTATAAGTCGAATTTATCCAACATTATTTACGGCATTTACAAATACGTACCCATCGTCGTCAAGGAGCACAACATCGTTGCAACTTGAGAATGAGAATATTGTTCGTATGCCTATAAACATTCAATTAAATAAGCTATTGGGTAATGCTTTTTTAGCGAATGTACAATTAATGACGACTTACAATAGCCTTTTTGTAGGTCCCATACTTTAATTGTCCTGTCGTGACTTCCTGTAATCTAAATATAAAAAAAAAAATAGCTGATATAGGTATCGCGAGCACGACTAAATAATACGAACCATTCGTCACAGTATAATTACCACTCGAGACGAATCACCGTTGAATCGCGCAGAGTATACTTTTCCGATATGTCCAGTTAACGTATGCTAGAAATTAACGAGAAAGCGTATAAGCCATGATAATAGTAAAGGTATGGCATTATGGTTATATATTACGTACTCTAATCCGGCCTGTTGCTATATGCCACAGCCGTGTAGCGTTATCATTGCTTGCGCCCGCTATCATCTCATTTGTACTATTGAAACAGACATGCATTACGGATTGCAACGATCCGGATAATGGAGGACGAGGGTTTCCTACAAGTATGTTGACAAGCATGCAAGTCAATTCACATAAAGAAACAGTACCTTTTGGTCTCAGTAGCAACTCCCATAAATTAACACTTGTTCTTGCAATTAACAAACTCGACATGCATGCTGTACAGACCTCTAGCATCGTATATCCGTATGGTCTTATCACTGCTTCCAGTAGCAAACATGTTACCATCAGTTGACGTTTGAACAGAGAGTATTTCACCGTCATGTGACATCTGTCAATTACGACGATTACTCAAGTGTTTGATGTAAATGAAAGCAATTGAGAGGCGGAGTGAGAAATAACTATTACAAATTTGCGGAGAGTAGCTGTTGGAATGGTGGCTGTCACAAGCGTCTTGGAGCCCGAACGAGTCCTTTAGATCAATAAAAAGAAAATGTCAATACTGCATAATAGTAGCAATAAAATAATAACCATTAATTCAAATGCGTGTTTAATCGTATATTAACTTTACTCATATTACTAGCGTACACAACTATATATTTACACAAGAAAAGTATTAGTTCATGCCTTGAAAGTCCCGTGGATGTCTCTGGCATAGTGACACTTCTTGCTGTAGGAGACGTAGCCTCCTTTTCAACGATGACAACACCACTCTGTATTTCAAGAGCTTTCTGTCTCATCTCCATGGTACTAGAGAATAGTAAAGGAAGTTAGTATACAGAACATAATTGTAGATGGATTTTAAAATGGGCAATATATAGCAAAACTGTTTGCGCTATACGATCTAACGTCAATCATACCTTTCATAAAACAGATTTGCTTCGTTCATTTTTTCAGCTTCTTCATTCTTTTTCTTAAGCCACCTTTGAAGTAATTGTTTATTCTCCTTTTCCAGATCTTTCATGCGCTCTCCAGTCTTCACTAGTTCTAATTGAAGGGTTGCCACTTCATCTTGGAGGACCTATATCAATATTGTTGTGCAATATCATGTTAAGTATAGCACTTAAACGTACAAAGCTCAGTTTCCCCATTGCTAACCTGTATTATGCCATCCTTAGTATTTAAAGTTTGTGTTTTCTGATTGACTTGAGTGTTCAATATCTGGTTAGCTTCGGTCAATATCTGAACACTTAGTTATACAAAAAAAAAAAAAAAAAAAAAAAACAACTCGGAGTTAACAACTCAACACAAATCCACACTGAAATTTTAATACAATGATTTTCATAATCTCGACGTTAACCACGCCTACATACTCTTCCAAATTCTTTTTGGACTCCTCCTCAGTCTTTCTTAGTAAATCGTTCATGTCTAGTAGTCTCTGTGCATTCGTTCCTTGGGTTTTGTACAATTCTGCCCGTTCCTCTTTAAGATTTGATATCTGCTCTTCAAGCTGAGCTGTACGTTGTTGGTTTAGTGGACTCCTGCATGGGGAATGACAATAAGAAATAAATCAACAAATAATTCATTTGTGCCAGCATTTCATGTAAGAATTGCGAAAAGCTCCCGAAACTTATGGAAAAGGTAATCCATTCGATTGACAATAATCCTAGACTCACCCTTGTTCTCTGAGTATCTTGGTTTCCTCCAATAATCTAGTATTTTCTTCCTTAACTATATTATACTGTTGTTCGAGTTCGATGTTTCTCTCTGCATAATGGGCGAGTCTCTTCGCAAGTGCATTATCTAATCACCAGTACAAAAGATCAAATAAGACCAATGTCACATTTTACACCAATCTGTGCAAGTAACAAGTCTTTCTACTCTGTATCGCCAGTATTGGCTGCAATTACAACTCTAAATCCCAGTCGTAATTCTTACACGCTTCCACGAAATCACTGAATGCTTTCTCTCGTCGATCTCTGACCAGTAGCTTCACTAACAATTCCTGCTGCCAGTTCTCTGGTGGCGTGACATTTGACAAAGAGCTGTTTATGCTGTTTTGTGAAGTGATCGTTGACATTTTGGGAAAGACGGTCGAAAGAATTACAAGCCATATATAAGCGGCGTAGCAGACAACAGTTTAACTGACTATTTATCACGTGAGTTGAATATGTCGATCACATAGTAGAGGTGTTATGACTATAGTGTTGCTTGATGCGTTATCATTCTCAGGAAGAAGTAAGTGCTGCATCAAGAGTTCAGCAAGACTTTGAACTTTAATAGCTGATAACAACTGGGCATATTAAATCAAAGACAGTTTGTATATTGAAAAATAAAATTAAAGATACTTCATTGTGTCATGCCAACAACTGCGGGAGAACAGTCAATTGTCGGCACTATGAATTTGGCTACCTTCGAACGGAGAGT